GCAAATGCCCATCTGCAGGCAGCAGGGAGTATATGCTGCAACGACCCAACTCGCATATGTAGGAGTTGCATTTCCACCCCCCAAGCCCAGTGTACAATGTGTCCAGGACATGAGCATGAACTAGAGCACTCCCAGCGAATAAACCCATCTAAAGTATGAGACACACATACACAGATAATCCACTGCAGGGGACAGAAATGAGAAGTGGAGATGGAAATTCCCACTCAAGGATTCATTACCGAGCTGCTTCGAGCTGTAATACAAAAATGCAAGTGCTCCTCAGAGCAGAGTTTTGTCATGAGGCAATACACGCACAAAAAGACTTACAAAGGAACAGACACAATAATGAGACTGTGCCACAGAAGACAACACTGTCAGCTGTCATGCAACTCCAATAAACTTGAGATTATGACTTCAAAACATTCTCAGCTTGAATTTGCTTGTTGTCAAGAAATGTTTTGAATATCACACACTCATAAAACACACACAATCTTCCCCTACCCCCAAATCTTGGAAAGCAAGGTATATAATAACAATTCACTATGTAATATATATTATTATATTATATTCAATGTATATTTATGCATATATTATACATATTATATCAAAATTATATGTGTGTAATTGTATTATATAATTATGTATAACAGAATAGAAAGGTAGCATGCAAGAGCAATCTGACCTCTTTAAATACCGACCTAGCAGCCCAGAGCATCTGCTGATCAAGTGGGGAGTGCACTGCAGGTTGGAGCCACAGAGCACTCCCTCCACCATGCGTGCTACTGCCTGTGCCACTAGAAGAGCTCCATGTAATTACATACATAAGGTTAACCCACGGTTCTGACCTGAGAAATGCTGGAGATGATACCTTTAACAGCGGATGGGGAAGGTGGTGGGGGACTGAGGCCGTCTTTCTTTCTTAGCTCGCTGATACCAGGACAGGTACAGCACCAAGGCATACACCCGGGCAAAGCACGGCTCCCGTTCAAATTAGGAGTCTACACAGAAAATCCAGACGATACATTTCTTCCTAAACCTAGAAGCAAAGCACAAGAAATACACTTGAGCTACCATATGTACCAGGGTACGAAAGAAGCCTTAGTCCAGTCCTTCACGTGTCACCTCCAACTTCCTGAGTTGGGAGCAGTGGGGCTCTGGAGGATCAGAGGCATGAAATGACAGACCACATCAATCCATGGACATGGGAAACAGATTTACTAAGCCATGGCAGAGGCTGGCACTATTCGTGCTGCAGCTCTACCTGGTTACGCTTCAGCACTTTCCTGGGGGAAAGGAGGAAAACCTCTGCGGAGAAGAAGCAGTTGTTGAAGAAGCCATAGGGGTAGCACCAGCAAGGGGAGCCTGGCCTGGCTGCAGAGACATGGGAAGACCAGGCAGAGCCACACACATTTCTGCGGGTCACGGAAATGGTCTCGGGGCTACTACCTGAGCAAGCGCACACCCAAGAGCTTGTATCTCACCTTTTAAAGAAGTCGTGCCCTTACACTAAACAGCATCTCCTCCATCACTGCTTTACAGCAGGAAGGACATTCACACTAACTATAACACCCTCTTTGCTTTTTGGCCGCCTCATGCTGGGAGACCCTCTGCTGAACAGTGAAGCCCTGGATGCCCCGCGCCCCTCCACCGCTGCCTCTACACTGCACAGAGGAGCAGCGGGGCCTAGGGGTGCCCATCCAAGGCACAAGGGCTCCACACAGCCAGGGCATTATGGATTTGCCAACCATGACTATCAGCCAGCCAAGCACGTCCATTCGCAGCAAGGAGGGAATCGGAAGTCCTTTTGTTTTTCTGCTTCACAGCCGACTAACCTGAACAGCTCTTTAGCAAGGTAAGTAATTGAGGGCTGATGGATCTAAACAGTGCTATGCGGAAAAAGCATCCTAGCTTCCAGCTAGCTTGGTGATCTTATAGTGGTTAATTAGAAATAATTAAAGAACAAACAAAAAATTCAAACTTTTTCATGAATACTCCATAGATATAATAGGCTTCACAGGTTATTTGTTTTAAAGAAGAGCTTGTTCCATGGTGGCAGACTCCCTTCATACAGGAGCTGGGGAAGAGGAAATTAACCCATTGAGGACAAAGTAAAATGGTGTCAGATTTCTCCCAACCAGAGGTATTCGTGACAAAAGATGCTGAAGTCAACAAACTGATTAACAAGCTGATGGACTAAGGACAGACAATGACTTCCCAGATGTTACTTAAAATCAACACATGGTATTACTGAAATCTTGAAACACTGTGCTGGCTCCCAGGCATGGGAAGAGAATAAAACTGCCTCAGCAGCTCAGTTTTGGCATAGCAAAAGGAGACCTAATTAAGGAGCGGAGTTATTCCCAAACTGCATGGTTCAAGAAGCTCCATTATACCTGATGCACAATAGGTGAAAACCACTTTCTTTCAACAACGCTTATGTAAGATGCTAATTCTGGACTGTCTCATTTAACAACGACTTCTCTACTCTGACTATCTTCAGCTTGAAAGCAGGTAAGTCAGATTTCTGGAGGTACCGTGGTGGGAAGCTCAGAAAGTGCAGGATGCGGTGCAGAGTAGAGGCCACTGCAACATGCATTCAACACCGAAAGCGAGCTTAAAGGGAGAAAATAAAATGTAGTTTGGAGTTATCACAGGGATGGCCGGAGCGCTAGAAAATGACGGCCACACTGCTCAAAGCGAGGCGGAAAGGCCTCCTCCATCCGCCTGCACCTCTGTGTTTGTATCCCCGCTCTGGTACGGTCTGGCCCAGCTGGAAGGGCAGCCCGCGGCCCACGAGGCAGCAGACACGTCGCCTCCCCGGCAGATGTGCCGAGGGGCCCGGCAGCCCTCCCGGAGAAGGCCCCAGCTGGTACGGAGGCT